AGCAGTAGCAAGTTAGACTTGTGCTTGGGATCATGTCCTGAGCAAAATGAGCATACTTCTTAGTGATTCTGAGTTTCTTCAAGGTAGAGAGAAGTGAACTCTGCAGGATTTGTGTGTACATCTCTGCATCCATCTTACCCTCAATCCTATGAAGAGTCCCAACACCTTTGGAAGTGACACACCCCCAAACCATAATACTTCCACCTCCATGCTTCACCATCTTCTGCACATAAACATCATCAAACTCCTGCCCAGACCTCCTGTAACACTACTGACAACCATCAGAGCCAAAAAGATTGAATTTGGACTCATCAGAGAAAATGACAGAATGCCAGTCTAGAGCAGTCCAATCTCCAAACGTGTGAGCCCATTCTTTTCTAGCCTGCCTCAATTTGATGCTGAGAAAGGGCTTACAGCAACAAACATAGGCCTTAAGACCATGTTTATAAAGGTGACAACATATGGTACTCTTGCTGACATGAGGGAAGTGGTTTCGTTTGAGATTGGTAGCATCATGAGCTGAACCAGATGCAAGCATTCTAGCAGCAGAACGACGGTCGGGCGACAAAAGCTTGGTGGGACGACCTGGCTTGGGCATAACAAAGTACGGATCACCAGTAAGGAGGAGCTTGTGGTGCAATCGGGAGACGGTAGAACGAGAAAGGCCAAGCCTTTTGGCACACTCAGAGTGAGACATGCCAGCGTGCTTGTAGTCCAATAGATGCGCTTTACAAGTGGGTGTAGTGTAGTGCATAGAGTAGAATAGAGGTAATACTAAAGCCCAGGGTGCAAAAGGAGGCACAGGTGTTGAAATAATGAGCACTGGGGCAGCCTTTTTAAAGTGTATGTGCTGTGCACATATGTAATGCAACAGCATGTTTTTTTTAGATCCGTCCGTCTCGTATAATTACTGCACATTTTGCAGTCTTTTTTACATACATATATTCACAGTATATCACACTTAATTTACATGTAATTTATATGGGCATAAGTGTTGTGTGGAATGACGTGTAGAGGCAAAATGAAAAACACGTGGTGTGTTGCAA